AGGACTTGGGCAGCGGGAGCGCGCCACTCTCCACCCGGAACGCGCGGCGAGACGGGCTGGGCTAGCAGATTTGACCTTCCATGTTCTTGTGCTTTCACAAGAGTCTGTCTCTTCCAGAGTTCATTCCCGCAGAGCCCAGAATCTTGAGTTGCGTCCACGATGAGCAGCATGACTCAGAATATACGGGAGCTGATGAAGGTCTTGTTCAGAGTTCCCGGTTTTGATAGAGTTTTGGAAAAGGTATTATAAGGCGATGCCTCTGGTGAAGGGGACGAACCTAATCAAACACCCGAGTTAGATTCTGTTTGGTGGGGTGTTCTTGAAAGTGCACCTTAGTGGCTTCTCAAACGCCGCGGGGAATGTGGATCCTCATCTAATCGTCAATAAGCATGACTGTCACAGGTTTGGTCTTTTCACCAGCAGATTGTTGGAGTGAGCCAAGAAAAGTCTGTGTATCATTTAAGGGACGCTGGAGTCTGCAGGACTAGTATATAGGAATTGTTTGTAAAGTATGAACGCGAAGTACGTTTGAGGTACCGAAGTGAATGTGGACAACTTGCTCTTATGTTGTGTTTCTTGGTTTTGAGACTGGATCTTAACTCTGTAACGTAGGTTGATAAATGTTTTATTGCATGGATATCTGTTTTTCCGATTAAGAAAGAATGCTTGGAAATTTGCAAAGAATTTGAGCGTGGAATTTAAATATTGATCACCAACAGGCATTTGAAATGTTTCTCCTTTTAACTATGTCCATAAGTGTCAGGGCTTTTGTAAAAAATAGGAAATGACACTTTGATAAATGTATTTAATATTTTCAAATAAGAAATTTTTTGGGCTTCACTGTATCCACTGGAAATGAAGAGTTTCCATCCTTACTTTCTTTTAAATAGCCATTTAATTGTTGCCTATACAAATCAGCTGTTGGTAAGTTCAGGCCAGTCTGATGTCTTACTAGGTAGACTGTAAGTTAAAGCTGATTGAGTCTTACATAGGCAGGGCTTGGCAAATGCGTTTCATGTTTTTTACTCCTAGAAATCTGGACACCGAGTAAGCAGAAGCTGCCTAGGATGTTTTGCAAATCCTATTTACATTTTGATGGTTCATCCTTAAATCATAAGGTGGTATTACTATGATTATTAATATATTTTCAAGCCAGGTGGTGATGGTGCACCTTTAATCCCAGCACTAGGGAGGCAGAGGCAGGTGGATCTCTGTGAGTTCGAGACCAGCCTGATATACAAGAGCTAGGTCCAAGACAGTCTCCAAAGCCACAGAGAAACCCTGTCTTGAAAAAAACAAAAACAAATTCTCATTCTTATACCTTAGTCCAGTATGGTGGTGCCTACCTGTAATTCCAGCATGAGGGAGGCTGATACAGGAGAGTTTATAAGCTAGTTAACCAAATCCCCACTCCAGCCCCCACCCCACCCTGGGGGGGGAGGTGAAGCTGGGCGGTGGTGGTGCAATGCCTTTAATCCCAGCACTCAGGAGGCAGAGGCAGGAGGATCTCTGTGAGTTCGAGACCAGCCTGGTCTACAAGAGCTAGTTCCAGGACAGCCTCCAAAGCCACAGAGAAACCCTGTCTCGAAAAACAAAACAAAAAAAAAAAAAAAAAAAAAAAAAAAAAAAAAGTCGATTTTTAAGTGCTTAATCTTTGGAAATCAGCATAGATTTCACATGTACAGTATGACCACACTGCAAGAGTTTAGTATTTATAGGTAGCAGCAAGTGGCTGTTCAGCCATACAGGTTGATAATAGTCGTTGTGTGATTGGTAACTTGATTTACAACAGATAAGTGGTTATGTTTTACGTAGGCAGAGAAGCTAAGACTAAAGTATATATGTGTGTATAGTGGTTTGTGTATGTATATAATGTGGTTTTTATGGTTTCCTTTGTTTTGTTTTTGAGACAGCATCCTGGCTGGTCTGGAACTTGAATTGACGTCCTTGCCTCTGTCTCCTGAGTGCTGCTGGTATTATTCATGTGGTATATACCATCATACCCAATGTATTTCTGATTAGTGATTCATAAAAGATTGTTATACTTACTAACTTTGCAGGGACTTTGACATCCTGGCTGAGTCTAACTACATTGGTCCCAGAAAAAACAAACAAAAAACAAACCACTTAACATTTCTGTGTGCCCATGGAGGCTGGGGATGTAGCTTAATTGGTAGAATGCTTGCCTAGCATGAACAAAGCCCTGGCTTACATCTCTAGCACCACATTAAACTATGTGTGATAGTACACCCAGCCACACTCACGAAGGAGGCAGACACAGAAAGATAAGAAGTCCATCCTCAACTTCAAAGCCAACCTGAACTATAAGAGACCTTGTCTCAAAAAGATGAAAAATTACATTCAGGTGAAACATGTTTTCCCTGGGGAGAAATGAACAGACATCTGCCCACCGGGCCAGGGTACCAACAGTAACCCTGCTAACATAGTGAACCAGTGAGAGTACTGGAGCACAGATGATGAGAAGGCAACCTCATCACTGAAAAGCCCACCCCAGCATGAGTGGGAACTCAATATTGCTGCATCCCTGAAGCTCCATACTTGCCAGCAGCCCCGCTAACAAAAAGTGTCCTCCCTCCAGCCTTGCAAGTCTTGATTGCTTCCAAAAAGAAATCTTTCAATTTTATCTTCCTAATAAACTCTCAAATTGTTAGGCAGCTTTGGAAAATCACTTGCGAGGGCACACAGGTTGAATACCCCATTAGTAGAGCTCAGACACACCACCACATCTTGGTGAGTGAATCTGAACTTCACAATGCATTCATACTAGAGCCTGCAAAAGAGCTTCCAGCCAGCTACAGAGCAAGAACTCCTAGGCCTTTCTTTCAAGATTATCCCATCTTGCAGAAATAGTGTACTTTATTTAAATACCCTCTTTATAGGGATGTTTGAAATATGAAGAGTACTACAATAAATGACTTGATTTTTTTCTTTTTTTTCTTTTCCCCAATAAGTGGCCTCTAAGTGCTTACAACTCTCAACGCTCCACAAGGAAGGCAGGAGCCCTCTAAAAGGCCAGAAGTGCCTCTCCTACGTTGCTGCCAGAGGCTTGGGTATTTTCACCAGCCATCTCTGGCTGCTTCCTTTGGTTGTCAGACCTATCCAAGGACACACTTATAATAATTCATAGATTCTAGGTGGCCTTTTCAATTCTAGAATTGAGCACTATTTCATCCTATGAAGCGGTATGTTTTCTGAGAACTTTTTTTGTATGATGAATTATTCTTTGAGAACTTCATAAATACATACAATGTATTTTTATCTTACTCCCTAGTTCTCCCCATAAGTCTCCCAGATCCACTCCCTGCTGCCTCCCAATGAAGGTCTTATTCTGGTAACCACAGCTACTGAGTTCATGAGTATATGGACTCTGTCCTGTTTGGAAGACACTTACTTTAGAGACATTTTTACCACAGTTTTAATAGAATAGGAGGCAGATATTCTGGCATCTAATGGGTAGAGACTGGGGTGCTAATCAGTAACCTACAGTATACAGCTGGAGGGGATGTATTTCTGTATGCTGTATACTTTGTACCATAGTGCCTCCATCACAAAGAATTACCCTGTCCACATGGCAGCAGGACAAAGGCTGAGGAACCTTGACTGTTCTGATAATTAAATATTCTATCTTTCATCCACACTAGTGAAATCACTACCCTGGCCGGGCGGTGGTGGCGCACACCTTTAATTTACTCAGGAGGCAGAGGCAGGCAGATCTCTGTGAGTTCGAGACCAGCCTGGTCTACAAGAGCTAGTTCCAGGACAGCCTCCAAAGCCACAGAGAAACCCTGTCTCAAAAAATCAAAAAAAAAAAAAAAAAATCACTACCCTGTCCTTTCTAAATATATACTGTGTCCTTGCCCTGAACTTGGAATTGTTGGTTCACCTTGAGACATCTCATATGTTGTTACATAAGAGAGTGTAACCTTCCTCTAAATCTCCAGTTAACAATTATTATCTAAGGAGTGGTGGTGTAACACAGGGGTAAAATGCACACATAAGACCATGGGTTCAATTCTAGTACCAACAAATAAATAAATAAATTTATTAAATTTTTTGTTAACTGGTATGTGACCCCCCTGGACCATCTTAGTATTTTATACAAAAAGTTTTGCCTCTCTGATTATCTAAATGTGACACTAGAGACTTTTTCTTTTGTTTTCCAGACAGGGTTTCTCTGTGTAGTCCTGGCTGTCCTGGAACTCACTCTATAACCAGGCTGCCTCTGCCTCCTGAGTGCTGGGATTAAAGGTATGCACCACCACTACCTAGATAACACTAGAGACTTTTTTTTTTCTTAGATTTTATTTATTATGTATACAACATTCTGCTTCCATGTATATCTGCACAACAGTAGAGGGCACCAGATCTCCTTATGGATGGTTGTGAGCCACCAAGTGGTTGCTGGGAATTGAACTCAGGACCTCTGGAAGAGCAGCCGGAGCTCTCAACCTCTGAGCCATCTCTCCAGCCCCACTAGAGACTTTTTAAAGCAAGCAATGCTTTATTTAGGTTTTTAAATTTTTTATTTTGTCATTATATGGATTAGTGTCTTTGTGTATGTACTTGTGAGTGCAGATGCCAATAGAGGACAGAAGAGGGCATTGGCTCCCCTGGTGCTGGAGTTACTGGCAGTTGTGAGCACTCAACATCGGAACTGAACTCTTGTCTTCTGGAAGAACAATTTACATTCTTAACAGCTGAGCCATTTTCCAGCCCTTTACTTGAATTTTTTTTTTTTTTTTTTTTTTTTTTTTTTTTTTGAGACAGGGTCTCATGCAGCCTGGCTTTGAACTTTCTGTGTAGCGGAGGATGACCTTGAACTCTAGATCCTCCTCCCTTCACCTCCAAATACTAGGGTTATAGGTGAATTACCATGCCCAGCATAATTAGGGATTTCTTAAGTCAATGAATCAAGCATTGATGTAGTTAGGCAGATCACTGGGAAAGCACATGAGGAAAGATGGCTGTACTTGTCACCCAGAACATGGCTATCTATAATAGCATTTGAGGTTAGATGGGAGGGGTCAAAAATGATGTGACAGTGAGTCCCATGTTCATAACCCATTTGAATGCATAAGATGCTGGCAAGAGACAAGGCATTGAAGGCCACAGAGAAAGGACCAGAAGACTGCATGTGCCTGTGCAAATGTATAAGACAATTTATAAGGCTGGCTGTGAACTCACAGTTCTACCTGCCTCTGCCTCCTGAGATTAATAGTGTTTACAACTAAGCCCAGCTAAAACAGTGTTTCTGATAAACTGAGAAGTCCAGTGTGTCAGAGGTGACTGAGTTCATGCCAACCTACTGAAGTCAATTCCAACTTGGGAATGGAACAGACTTGGGCTGCAAGCTGAGGCAGGAGGATTGTTACAATCCCAGCCTGGACTTCATAGTGAAATCTTCTCTCTAAATAAATAAATAAATAAATAAATAAATAAATAAATAAACAAACAAAAGCCAAGCCCTGTCTTAAAATAAGCAAAGCTAAGTTATGAAGTAGAAAATCTTAACCAAAGTTCCAGAATCAAAGGGATTTTTTTTTCCCCCAAAGGGAACTTTTAAGGACTAAGCTTTTGAGCTGGAAGGAGGCTCAACAGTTAAGGTCCCTTATAGTGGAAAGACATACCATAGTGGCAAGTTGTCCACAGGAACGCGCTCGAACACACACACACACACACACACACACACACACACACACACACACACACGTACGTAATGGTAACTTTTAAAACACCAAACACTACTTTTGGTGTCCACCTGGCTCTCTAGCTTTCCGGTCTGGCCTTTATAAGAACTTCAGGTATCATTTTCCTTTAAGCCTTTCCTAATCCCTCATCATAAAAACATGGCTTTGAAAGTAAAAAGTATATAATGGCTCACTTTACTTTAAAAGTATCTATGTCAAGAAACCTGTGTCAGACTGCTCATGGTGGCAGCCACCCCTGTGATCTCATGCTCAGGAGACTGCAAGAGCTGATCTTGAGTTACTGTCTCCAGTAACCTCCTCCACTGCTAGTTTCTATACCCTGACTGGGCAGGCACTATTTAAATCTCACTTGTGTGTAACACGAAAAATAAATGACCCAGAGACTGATATTGGATTTCAATTTCAAGCTGAAGATCAGAAAAGCAAAGTAGCTAGGCTGTCACTTCCTCCGAGTGCAATGGCTGATCCTGGAGCTCTCCCAAACCTCAGACTGAAGGCTCACCTCAGCGTGCCTAGAGAATCCTGAGACTTCAGTGTCTTCCTATCCTCAGTGTGGCTGGAGAATGAATACCTGATACTCTACTGAAGACCCTGCTCCTATCTTTTATACTGTCTAGTGCTGGGATTAAAGGCATTCGATCCCAGGTGCTGAGATCATCTTTATGTGAGCTGTTTCTCTTTAGGACTGGATCAATCTTGTGTAGATCTGGGTGGCCTTGGACTCACGGAGATCCGTTTACCTCCTAATCCTGAGTCCTAGGATTAAAGGTGTGTACCACCGGGGCTGGAGAGATGGCTCAGCGGTTAAGAGCATTGACTGCTCTTCCAGAGGTCCTGAGTTCAATTCCCAGCAACCACATGGTGGCTCACGCATCTGTAATGAAATCTTTGTGTTCTCTTCTGGAAGGTAGGCAGAGTATTCATAACAAATAAAAAAATTAAAAAAAAAAAGGTGTGTACCACCACCTCCTAGCTTCTGGCTGCTGGGATTAAAGGTGTGTATCAACACTCCCTGATCTCTATAGCTTGAGCCCGACTTTGCTTTCTGAATCCTCAGGCAAGCTTTAATAAATCAGAAATAATAAATCACCATACTTCTGTGGTTGGGGGTGGTGGCACATTGGTGGTAGACAAGAGGATCATGACTTCAAGGTTACCCTCAGCTCTTGACTACTAGATTGAGACCTAATTTTCAAACAAAATTGAAACTGATTCTTTCCCCCCTGCCAATCCTCCATTTAAAGACTCATGTTGAGTGTGGCTCAGTGATAGAATATTTGCTTAGTACACAAAATAAGGCCCTGGGTTACATTCTGGGCCTCCCTGCTATGTACTCTTAGTTTGTAAGGACATCTTGTGGCTGGACCATTTATAGCTATAAACAGGCAACCCTGGAATTTTTTTTTTCCTTTCGATTTACATTTGAGGTGGCTTATATTATTTCAGTTTGCCCCTCTTCGTGGCCTTCTATAGAATAAAAACTAGTAGAAGCACTAAAGCTGTAGCTGTGACTCAGGAAGAAGTCTAAAGGCCTCTACATTCTGATTTTATGGGAAGATCAGAAAGAAGTTAGAGGTCATTACAAATTTTTTTCTGGAAAACAAAACAAAACAAAATCTCAGTAGTGAAAACTTTTAATATGAGGCGTGTTCACAGCCTCTGACCTGCTTGCAAGCATTTCTGTGATATGAGGCAGGAAGAAAAGGGGGCCGTTGTGTGATGTTTTTGCTTTTTTGTCTTTTGGGGTGTCCACCACCCAGTTCCCAAATAAATCACACGAGGAGTCCTATTATTATGAATGCCCAGCCTTTAGCTTGGCTTGTTTCTAGCCAGCTTTACTTAAATTATCCTGTCTACCTTCTGCCACTGCCTTTTCCGTGGATTGCTGTGTAGCTGGATGGCTGGCCCCTGACACTCTCTCCTCCTCTTGCTCTCCTCTCTTCTCATTTCTTCTCTTTCTCCTCAGCCCCACCTATCCTTGCTCCTGCTTCTTTGTTGGCCGTTGAGCTCTTTACTAGACCATCAGGCGTTTTAAACAGGCAAAGAATCACAGCTTCACAGTTAACAAGTCACACACCTTAAAATAATATTCCACCACAGGGAACAAAGCCTGTTAGTGGTGGTGCATTACCTGCAGTCCCTGCACCAGGAGATGAAGGCAAACAAACCATGCCTGCCACCATAGACAATCCTCAGAAAGAACACTTGCTTCCTTTCCGTTTGTTTGTTTGGTTGGTTGGTTTGGTTTTTCCAGACAAGGTTTCTCTTTGTAGCAGCTCTGGCTGTCCTGGAACTCTGTAGACCAGGATGGCCTGGAACTCACAGATTTCTGCCTGCCTCTGCTTCGAGTGCTGGGACTAAAGGCATGCACCACAACTGCCCAGCTCCCCACCTGCTTTTTAAGCTGCTTTGAACTACTCACTAATTCATGTAGAAAACTACCCTGCTTGTATAAAAACTAGAAAACACCCAGTTTAAACCTTTTTAGTAGTGACTCGAGGATGACAGATTGTGGGGGTTAGTTGGTTGGTTGGTTGAAAAGGTCCAAAGAGAGCTAGACCCGTGGATGCAGGCCTGTGATCCTATTATTTGGGAGGCTGACACATGAGTGGACAGTGAATTCAAAGCCAACCAGGGCTTTATCTCAAAACAAATATTCAAGATGATGCTGGGAGGGGCTGGAGGGATGGCTTAGATTGTTACTCTTGGAGAGGATCAGGGTTCGGTTCCTAGCTCCACATGATAGTTCACAGCCATCTGTAACCCAATTGCAGGGGATCCAACCTTTTTTACCTCAGTGGGCACCAGGCACACTCTTTTTTTTTTTTTGGTTTTTTGAGACAGGGTTTCTCTGTGTAGCTTTGGAGCCTATCCTGGCACTGGCTCTGGAAACCAGGCTGGCCTCGAACTGATAGAGATCCACCTGCCTCTGCCTCCCGAGTGCTGGGATTAAAGGCGTGCGCCCGGCCACACACACATTTTTAACTAAGGACAAAATCTCACTGTGGGGGATAGAGAGATGGCTTTGTGGTTAAAACCACATAATATTCTTGCAGAGGACCTAGGTTTGATTCTTAGCACTCAGGTTGAGAGGTTGGCTTACAACTGTCTGTAACTCCATCTCCAAAACACCTTACATCCTATTCTGGGCTCAGAATTTGTGTGCCATGTGCATATACTTACACACACACATAAGCATAATTTAAAATACAGTATCTTTTAAGGTCTTACTAATGTAGCCCTGGCACTTAGAAACCGCACGTCTTCCTCCCTCAGTGCCTCACAGAGGGGATTAATGCTGGAATTACAAGTGTGTGTCTCTGCTTCCAGCTTCAAGATTGTTTTTGCTGTGCTGATGTATTTGAGCTAGTGTCTCTTCTTCCAGCTTCAAAATTGTTTTTGCTGTGCTGATGTATTTGTGCTTTTCAAATACCATGGAATTAATTTTTTTTTTTTTTTTTTTTTTTTTTTTACATTTGCTTACTATTTAGGTGACACTTGTCTCTGCTGCTCCTGAAAAATTAGTTTGTGAAATGAAAGTGGAAGAACAGCATGCTAATAAGTTCGGTACTCTCCATGGAGGCTTGACAGCAACCTTAATAGATAGCATATCAACTGTGGCTCTGATGTGCACAGAAAGAGGAGCACCTGGAGTCAGTGTTGACATGAACATAACGTACGTATCTAGATACCATCCTAGATGATTTTTAAAAAACTGATACTCATTTCAAATAACTTACATATATTGTTTAGGGGATAATAACAAAAATCTATACATTTGGGGGACATGTGTGCCTTTTTTTCAAATATCTTCAATCCACAGTTATTTAAACTCATGATTTGTAACTTTCATACAGTCCTTAAAAATATCTATTGTAAACTAGTACATCCCTTTGATCTCAGCAGAGGCTGGAAGATCTCCAGAGTTCAAGGCCGACCTGGCCTACAAAGTGAGTTCCATGATAGCCAAGGCTACAGAGAAACCTTGTCTCAAGAAACAAAACCAAAAAACGTATCACTTCTGCCAGGCATAGTGGGACACACCATTAATCCCAGAACCAGGAGAGGCAAGAAACCTCTGTGAGCTCCATACAGTATGGTTGGTCTATTTAGTGAGTTCCAGGCCAGCCTGGCCTACATAGTGAAACCCTGTTTTAAAACAAAACAAAGCAAAGCAAAATAAAACAAAAAACTCAAAATATTAAAGTATCACTAATTAGCTGGATGTGGTGATATAATCCCAACACTTGGTAAAGACTGTAGGACCAGCCTCAGCTATTTGAACCCTTATGTTCCCTACTCCCACCTCCCCCCAAAGAAGTGTGAATGACATTTGGAGGAAAGTTGTTGATCATCTCCCATGTATTACCAAAACCTCGAAACAAGGTGAACACAGGTGCCAGAAAGGGGTCCGGAATTTCTCCTATGACTACTGTTTAAATGACAGGATCAGAGAGCAGTTTGTGGCATAGACCTCAGCCTGTCACTATTGTGAAAATGTCTGTAGAAACCACTTTCCCACTGTCGACTTTCCAATGGCATACTTGAGTTCTAAAGCTAGGCATGGTGGCTCATGTCTGTAATCCCAACACTTGGGAGGCTGAGACTAAGAGGATTATCAGTTCAGGGTCAGCCTAGGCTACAAAGCAAGACCCAGTTTCAAAACACTAGAACCTTGTCAGTTTCTCGTAAGCCTGGGAAGAAATTGAGAGTTCAGTAATCAAATCACAGGACAAAATGTAGAAGATCAGATAGACTGAAAAGAGACTATGCTAATGAGCCAGTGTGTGTGTGTGTGTGTGTGTGTGTGTGTGTGTGTGTGTCCTTATTTTAGCTTGTGTGGTGAGCATGCCTTTACCAGTGTTCTGGAGGCAGAGATCTACAGAGTGAGTTCTAGGACAGGCTCCAAAGCTACTGAGAAACCCTGTCTCACAAAACCAAAGAAAAGAAAAAGCAAGGAAATCCCTTTTTTTTTTTTTCAAGACAGAGTTTTTCTGTATTGTTTTGGAGCCTATCCTGGCACTCGCTCTGTAGACCAAGCTGGCCTCAAACTCAGAGATCCGATTGCTTCTGCCTCCCGAATGCTGGAATTAAAGGCGTGCACCACCAATGCCCGTCGGAAATCCCATTTTTTTCTTTAAAAAAAATGGACAAATCCTTATTTTTTTTATGTGCATCAGTGTTTTGCCTACATGTGTGTCCATATGAGGGTGTCAGAAATCTTGGAACTGGAGTTATAGACAGTTGTGAGCTGCCATGTGGGTGCTGGGAATTGAACACAGGTCAGTAAGAACAGACCTGTGTCTGTTACTGCTAAGTCATCTCTCCAGCTCCAGGAAATCCCATTTTTATGCAAAAACAAACACATGGATGAATAAAAGATGGGCCAGGAAGCGCATCATTCAGACCAGCTGTTTGAATTTGATACCAAAAGCTTGGTAATGGTATTCTGAAATTATCTGTAGGTTAAGGTACACAGGAAAACTTGTAGACGTTTGCCACAAACTTTCAACAGTTACTTAACCACTAACTATAGTTAAATATTTTCTTTCAAGGTACATGTCACCTGCTAAAATAGGAGAAGAAATAGTGATCACAGCACATATTCTGAAGCAAGGAAAAACACTTGCATTTGCCTCGGTGGATCTGACCAACAAGACCACAGGAAAGTTAATAGCACAAGGCAGACACACAAAACACCTGGGGAACTGAGGGACCAGCAGGGTGACCGGAAAAAGCCCAATAACAATTAAGAGTATGATTTGTAAACAACCTTCTGAAAATAAATATTTAAACCAGAAGTAACTAAGGAAGCATTTTCTTCGGAGAAAATAAACTAAGAAACCAAAATACAGCTGGGCGGTGGTGGCGCATGTCTTTAATCCCAGCACTCGGGAGGCAGAGGCAGGTGGATCTCTGTGAGTTTGAGACCAGCCTGGTCTACAAGAGCTAGTTCCAGGACAGCCTCCAAAGCCACAGAGAAACCCTGTCTTTAAGAAAACAAACAAAAAAAAAAACCCCACAAAATATATATAGTATGAAGGTTGTGAATGTCTTTTTTTTTTTTTCTTTCCTTTCCCAGACAGGGTCTCTGGCTATCCTGGAACTCACTGTATAGACCAGGCTGGCCTTGAACTCAAGAGACCCACCTTTCTTTGCCTCCCTGGTGCTTTAAGTGTGTGCCACCAAGTCTAGCTGGGGTGTCTTTTCTTTTGAAGTATCTTTTGAAGTTTTAAGTCAGGTGCATGATAGTTGGATGAAGGAGTACTTGCTGTTTGAGAGTCTGACTTTTTGGCACCTAGAATACTCTTAATTCACAATCTTCTGCTGCAGCCTCCTGAATGCTGGGATTATAGGTATGTTCTAACTTGCCTGGCTAGTTCACTGTTTTTATAAGAAGTAAAGCAAAGAAGCTAGAAGACCCACTTTAAGATTACTCTAAAACTGGTCTAGTATTGAGAGAAAGATGGGTTGATAGATGTTTTGATAGATGTCAGTCAGTACCATAGGCTGGATAGCATATAAACCTCAGAAATGACTTGTAGGCCAGTTTCTACCATACTCTTTGGTGGGGCCACTTCTTAGTTCAGATAGTGCCTTCTTCACATGGCAAAGGGACACAGGAATTAACACAAAAAAGGGCCTCCCACCTCCAAAAACCCGAGGGCCCAAGAGTAGATACAGGCATCTCAAACATAGCAATAATCAATCCCTAATTTTAGGTCTTTCCCAGCCCTGTGCGGTATCACATTTCCATATCCTTTATGAGACATGACTATTAAACTTCCAAACAGAAAACCACAGTCATACTGGGAAATTAAAGAGCCTGATACACGGCCTAAAAATCTTGAGAAGCCGCTGACACTATTAGATTTTGCACCTTTTTTTGTATACAGGGCACATGTGAGCCTCCTCAACCTCCCAGACTACTGTACTGTATTCAAAAGTTAGCAAATTAGTGGATTTCTCAAAGCTCTCAAAAATTGGAACTCAGGTCAGGCATGGTGATGTACACCTTTACTCCCAGCACTCAGCAGGCAGATCTCTGTGAGTTTGAGCTCTACAAAGCAAGTTCAAGGACAGTCAGAGCTGTTACACAGAGAAACCCTGTCTTAAAAACAGTAAAAAATAAAGAGGACTCTTGGTTTCCTCATTATCAGGGATCTAGAGTGGAAAGACAAAGTAGCTTTCAGTAGACTTGAAAACACTTGAGGTCAAAAGTTACCTATATTAGATACCAAATCTCTATAGACTCTTCAGCCATGAACAAACAGGAAATCTACATCTTGATTTCTATCCCTTCCTGCTAAAAGGACAGGTAGGCTGGGACTCAGGGATGATTTATCCATGAAAGTGCTAGAAACCTGAATCTTGCATATTATGGATGGTGGGCAGAGCTAATGTTGAAACACGTTGAGAGTAATTTGAAAAATCTGTTTTGCAACCATCAAGATTGGTTGGGGCTGGAGATAGCACAAGTAAGAGTACTGGCTGCTCTTCCAGAGGACCTGAGTTTGAGTCCCAGCACTGACCTCCACATTGCATTTACATTATACAGACATACATGCAGGGCAAAACACCTATACACAAAGTGTGAAAAACTTTCAAAAGATTGGCTTGGTTGAACACTAAGATTCATCATTAACTGGGGGTGTAGGGGGGGAACATGGACATTTTCATATTGTCTGCCATCAGTCACTAGCAGTAAAGTACATAGTGCATAAACCAAAGTTAGCTTTAAGGAGCAGATGGCATGTTTCTGGATATTAACCTGAAGGGTACAAAGTCAAGCTAACCATAGACAAACTGAATTTTCTGAGACAGTTAACTAGAACATGAATGGTATACTGTCATGTTGGAAGCTTGGTAATAATACTGTAAGATATTGTAACCAGGAACACCCCTCCATCACCAAATCCTATACTTACTTGTAACATGGCCATAAGTACCAAAGGGCAAAAAGTAAATGTGTGCAACAAATGCAATGGTTGGGCAAATATGTGCAAAGAGAAAAGTATGTGCAAAATGTTAAAATCTTAATGTGTTACACCAGAACATCCCATATTGTTCGTGCCAACTTTTCTGATCATCCCGAGTTAAAATGGCTACTGAATTACCTAATATGTTCAACAGTAACAGTGTAACAGTAAAACGGATTTTAAAAAGCCACTGGCATCTGGTGATTTAAATCCTCTACTTATATGAGCTTGGGCAAATTTCTCAACCTGGATGTCTACTTCCACTCCAAGCTGTTAAAGACAGCTGTAGAACAATGCCTGGCCTTAGGGAACCTTCAAAACCAGTGGTGGTGCTCAGGAAGCAAGCTGGTGGATTTGTTATGGAAATTCAATTCAGCCAATAGGTACCAGTCCCTTCAGGGCAGGGCCTCAGGTGCTATGTGTGGACTGAGAGCAACCTCTAGCTCTCTTGGGTGGTAGTGATCTGATAGCAGTATCCTGTTCCTCATATCTTTAAATTGTGGATGTTCTGCCAAATAAATATTTTTCTTTCATTCAGAATCTGTGGACTCCCTTACTCGGCCCACAGATCTCTGAATTAGAGGCCAGTCTGATCTACAGAGCTAGTACCAGGACAGTCTCCAAAGCTACAGAGAAACCCTGTCTGGAAAAACAACAAAAAAAGGAAACTTTGAAAATGTTGTATCAAATTGATTCTACCTTCGAACTAGTCAGAGAACAAAATCAGAGAACATGTAAAAATGCCCTTTTACATTAAGAATGGTTATTTTTTCCTTTTCTATGAAACAAAGCAAAGGGCAGGGAGCTATTGAAGCTGACCAACTCTGTCTTAGGTTCTTGTTCAAGTTACAACTGCCAGTTCTTTTTTTCTGAATAAACCTTAAGTGATGAAAGACATGGGATAAAAAAGTTAACATTGCAGATTTTATATATTCATCTGAATAGCCAGGAAGCTTTCACCTATTTTATTTAGGTTTCATTTTTTTTTTCCAAATTCCAACCAGAAGCTAAATACAAATGGAAACCAGTAAGCACTAGTTTTACTCCAATGGAGCAGGATCATTCCGATTTACTCCAATAAAAGTATGCAACCCTTAAGCAAAGCCTTTCTTCATTTAAAAGAAAAAAAAAAAAAAACAAAAAACAAAAAACAAAAAAGTAAAAATAAAAAAGCTATACAGTAGTCTTTCCTTATGTTCATTGCACAATTGAGTTCTGCTTTTAGAACTCTTGACACTCTGGTTAATTTTACAATGTAAGATCCCCACTTTTAATATTTTTTTCTATTCCAAACACTCAACTTCTTTAGGATGGTGTAGAAACCAGTATTTCTGCAAAATTCACTGGAATTTTATTTGTAATTAAATTTTCTAACACCAAAAACAAAAGAAAAACCAAAAAGTCCTCTACTTATGATGGTTTTTGCAGCTATGAATGTTCCTGTTTTATAGCTGCATTTAGCCACGCCAGACTCCAGATCTGCTTTAATGTGTATAAATGCATCTGCACACAGCAGAGTACTCTATAACAGCAACTCGGGGAAAGAGATCTGGGAAAAAATACATGTACTAATGAGTACCAAGAAAACAAACATGGCCCAGTGCACACGAGGCAGAAATACCTCAATGAGATGCTTTTTTTCATTAAGATTTCTTTCCCATGGTTGTAATTTCTTTTTGTAACAACCATTCTGGTCATTAGAATGAATCTGACAGTGCTCTGGAACAACGGTGATTATAGCAAAGCTATTAAGTTTTTAAGTGTTATTTATACCTGTTACATTCACTCTCACCCTCAATACTGATGAAAGATGTCAGAGGCAAAAACCAGCACAAACATGAAGACCACAACACTGAGCACAGCCTGTGCATGCATATACATTAAGCATTTCAGTGTACAAGAGTCCTTCCTTCACATTTTAGTAAGATGCTGATGCAGTGCAGCAATCTGCAAAGCACCTTCCTTCACACAGTCCGTGCAGAAGACATCTAATTTTTTTTAAAGTTCTGTGATACAAATGATTAAAATAAATCCAGGATGAACAAGTTTCAAAATGCATAGTGTTCTGTGCATGAGTCCATTTTCTTTAAACTCTGAAAGAAAAGTGGTAAGAAAACAAGAAAAGAAAATCGCTGCTGCATTCTCTGGTCTTCTCCATTTTGCTGGTCAATGCTCTTATTTACTCTGGCATATAAGGACGGAGGTGATCCTCTATGGTGCCAACTGCACAGTGGGTGAGCTGTTCCTGTGGCAGGTAGAGGCAGATGCTGCATAACTTGAAGATGGTGGCTTTGTTTTTTGGAGTCTAGAAGAAAGTGAATTTTTAATAATTGTAATAGCTTTTAAAATTGTCAGCCCCTCACAATTTAAGGCCCATGGCACACTAATAAAGGGTACATAGCAAGAGATATGTGGTTTCCTATCTAGGCAGGATATGGAAGAAAATAAGAGATGTTTGAAATAAATGCATAGACAATTTATGCATATTTTAAACATTAGGAAGTCACTAGAACAGTCCTGTGCCCTGACCTCCAGCCCTGGAACCAGCGCCAAAGAAGAACACACAATCGGGTCCCTCTAGCAGGGAATCAAGATCTAAGTTTCCTGTCTGCTCTCAGATGGGGAGTGTGCAGATCTGTTTCTAAATAGCCAACTTGGTTGTTGTTTTTGTTTGTTGTTTAAAATTTATTTTGAGACAACCAACTTTTAACTTGATTTCCAAGTTTACTTAAAGTTGCTTTATTATCTCTCCACTCTATTCTTAATGATCACTGAAACTCCAATTTTGAAATCAAGTGTCCTGAACCTTTTCTTTTCTATATAGTAGATACTGAGAAATTGAAAGGGCCTAACACTCAGGGAGTCAGAGTCAGGCAGATCTCTTTCAGTTTCTTAGAGGCTTATGTACAGACAGCCTGTCTCAAAAACAGGAAAAATTTAAAATGTCACAAAATCTAAATCACAATAACTTTGTGAGTATGATTTGTGCAATTTAACACCAGCAGACACGCATTCTCTGAAGTCAAGATCTACTCAGCACATCTACCCACCTGTGCCATAGACTTGAGGCACACAGCCGCACTGAATGTCTCTCAGGACATATTGTCTCTTTAGATGTCTTAGTTCTCTACTTTGGATATGTCTTGCTGTTGACAAGTAACAGCCTTAGCTAGCCCTCCCATTTGTCAGCCTGAATTTTTACTGCAAAATGCCTGTTGAAGCTTTTTTATGAATACATGGATTGCTGATCAAGTGGGAAATAGTTCTTATACATTTTTTTAAGATTCACATTTAAAAGCCAGGTGTTGGTGGCGCACGCCTTTGATCCCAGCACTCGGGAGGCAGAGGCAGGCAGATCCCTGTGAGTTCAAGGCCAGCCTGGTCTCCAGAGTGAGTGCCAGGATAGCCAGAGAAACCCTTGAAAAACCAAAAAGATTCACATTTAAAAGGTCTACTAGCCCTGGGGAGATAGTCAGTAAAGTGGTTGCTACAGCAAGTCTGAGGATCTGAGTGGCATGCATAGTTCTCACAAAGCAGATCCAGAAGAACCCCTAGGGCTTGGACATTGACTGAAGAACCACACCCACAAGTAGGCATACATACCTGCAGAATTGCACCCCTCACCTCCCACACACAAGTGCTTTTACTTAAAATACATATTTTGATCAATTAGAAGTGGAGAACTGAGAATCTCCTTTTAATGAGCTCCCAGGTGATGGCCATCCACTGAGCAGGGACTTGTAAAGCTTGTTCTGCAGGAAGTGTTCATAAAGTACAAAGTCTGGGAACTTCTCTGGAGGGGCCTAAGACAGGTTTCTTAATTTCAAATGAATCCCAAATTAGTCCTAAAAAAAATTCTTTACCTGCAAATGCTGTCTGTCAATGAAGAGAAACACTGACTGGTTAGGATTGTTGACAACAATTCCTGTCTTGTCCTTGCGGCTCAGTACATGCAGAAACTGTTTCTCATAGTCACCGTGATGAAATTCAAATTTGGCCTAATTACAAAATACAAACATTTTATGTAGTTACACGCTACTGCCCTGCTTTCATATGAATGTGTATGCTGACCAATACGAAAACAAGAGACACACATAGGTACTTAATTTTTTAAATTGTGTACAACAGAAAACAGTTCATTTAAAGAAAATCAAACTAAAATGTTTTTGTTGGGCATAATAAGTAGCACATGCCTGTAATTCCAGCAGTCCTAAGACTGAGGCAGAAGAATAAGATAACCAACCTGTCTCAAAACAACAAACACACAACACAACACACAACACACCACACACCACACACACACACACACACACACACCACACACACACACACACACACACACACACACACACCCTCTCTCTCACTTCAGTTAACATCAGTCCCATTTCAAATGCCCAAATCACATCCATCTTGATCTCTTGAAACACAGGACATGTTCCTTGTTACAAAAAAAATTCTACTAATAATGCTCCAACATAATTTTGTAATTTTAAAATAATTTTTGAAACTTCAGCTTCCTTGCCATACATAAAGGCTCTAACCCACTGCACCAGAGAGTTAAAGAGGAAAAGCAAACCTAATGCACCAAATGAAATAAATGCAAAGCCTTCAATGTGCAACATAGGACCACTTCTACAAATGGGCTTCTGAAAAAGCAAATTGTTATAGAAGACAAAAACAAAGTTACTATTATGGAATTAGTCGACTTCATCCTTCCACATGTCGGGGCAGTAGAAGGGAGTAAATACTGGGCAAAAGACCAGGCTTAAAAGAGAATTCAAAATTGTAAACTATTACAGTCCATTTGTCTTAAGCAATTTCTGCTGCCAAGAACTGTAAAATCATGAATAGCTGCTATTTAGTTTTTACTATCAAGTATTTTTTAACAACCCCACCCTGCGCTAGAGTACTAAGGAAAGAATGTTGGGCTCGATGGGCGTTGGTGGCACATGCCTTTAATCCCAGCACTCGGTAGGCAGAGGCAGGTGTATCTCTCTGAATTTGAGACCAGCCTGGTCTACAAGAGCTAGTTCCAGGACAGCCTCCAAAGCCACAGAGAAACCCTGTCTTGGAAACTCCAAAAAGAATTCTGGACTCTTTCCTATTTTACTATTCATTTCTCCCTTTCTCTAGGTGACACTAGGGATGAGTCCAGGCCTAGAGTACATGGAGAGTACTCCCACTAAGCCATGACTGCAGCTCTCCCAATAGCTTTTACTATAAATCTAGCAATCTGGGCTAGAGTGTGGTGACACGCATCTTTAACCCCTCCACCAATTCAGGAGGCAAAGCATGCAGATTTCTGAGTTCCAGGTGAGCCAAGGTTACATAGTAAGACCCCATTTCAACCAAAAAACAAACAAGCAAACCAAAAAAAAAAATCCTGGTAAAAACAGCCACTACTTGAAACGAAAAGCAGTCAGATTCACCATATAGTTCCATAGCATTTCAATTATATACTACTAAATTTCTTCTTGGGGAAGGAATGTTCCACACCAAACAAAACTGGCATAAGGAAGATATAAAGGAATTCTCTTAAGTAATGAAAATACTCTAATCCCTCCCAGCACGTCACCGTACTAAGCATGACAAAGACACATTAATAGCCTTTACTTCTTACTAAATATCACTACAGATATACTCAGATCTACAAGTTTCAAATTTTTGGTTTTTAAAGTCTGAGTTAGTTTTGTTTTCATTTGTCTTTATATTTAAGCCCTCTCAATTCCGACTTTTAGAAATAATTTTTATTTTATGTGCATTGGTGTATTGCTGGCATATGTCTGTGTGAAGGTGTCAGATCCCTTGGAAAGAGTTACAGTCAGCTGTGAACTGCCATGTAGGTGCTGGGAATTGAATCTGAGTCCTCTAGAAGAACAGCCAGTGCTCTTAACGGCTGAGGCATCTCTCCAGTCCCCGTATTTTTTTTTTTTTTAATGGGAGAAGCAGAGTTAGTTTACTAAGAGTATTTCCAAGGAAGTGGTTCACAGCTGGGAAGGCCAGCAGCTCCATGGCCTTGTTCGGTTAGAATACAGAATGGACCAACTATCTATCTTCAATATCCCATACTGAAAATGTGAGAAAAATAAAACCCTATCAGTACTGAACTCCCCACCCCTCATTATTTCCAAAACAATATGTGTAACACTATTTATGTGCTCTTCATCAAGTGTTATAAGCAAGCTAGAGACGATTCACAGTATACAGAAATTTATATGCAAATCCATGCTGCTTAACATAAAGTGAGCATTTGCAGAGGTTTTAGAGCCAATCCCCATAAGATATGTAACACACAGATGCCTGTTTTAAATTACTTAAGGGAATAAATTACATTACTAGCTTATTTTACTGCAGATGAGCTATAAAATTAGCAAAGTTATTACATGTATATTATAATTAATCCTGAAGGTTCAAGGAACCTATAATTTAGTTCAAGGAACTTCTCATAGTAGGCAGTGAGTCATGAGTATAAGCTTTTAACTTACTTTTACCTTACTTTCACTTTTATTAATTTACTTATTGTCTTTTGTATATGGCTGTTTTGTCTACATGTATGCCCATGCACCATGTATATGTTTAGTGCACTTGGAGGCCAGAAGAAATCATTGGATTCCCTGGAAATGGAGGGTTACGAGCCACCACATGAGTACTAGAAATTGAACCAGATCCAGAAGAGCTGTCAGTGCTCTTTGCCCCTGAGCCAGCTCCCTAGTTCCTAGCTTTTAAAAAGGGTTTATTTTGGCTTACAGTTTGTCTTGAGTGCTCTTAGCTGAACAACCCTGGACTCCTCTCTTTTAACTGTCTCATTTCTTTTTCTGCATAAAGGAGTTATCTAGTTATCACTAGTATTAGGTTAAATGTGTATATAAATATTAAATATTTAGGACAAAGATTAATACACTGGCTTTTAATAACCTTTAGACATGATTTCAAATATAGACATGACTTCAAATAATAGTACTTGAACCAAGTACTATTTTCTAGCACAGTGGTTCTATCTAAACTTTGCTAATGATTCAACTCTTTAATACAGTTCCTCATGTAGTGGTGACCCAACTGTGATTTTGCTACTGATATGTAGGATATCCTTTATGTGACTTGTGGGTATCATAACCCACAGGCTGAGAACTGCTGTGCTAGCACATTCATGGCTGTTAGGTATTAGCTAGCCCCCCCCCAAAAAAAAAGAAAAAGAAAAAAAATGAAAAAAAAAAAGTAATTCTCTTGCCAATATTTAATCTATGGATTTTTTTTTCTTATTAAGTACTAATCTCACATCCATCTAGAAAAATAATCCCAATAACAGTAAGAAAATGTTATGACAATTTTTATAGTCAATAATTCAAAAATTTAGTTCTCTATGCTTAACTAAAATAGTACCAGATACATCACCATTTTTCTAATTTTAAAGTAATGGGGATATGGATATAGATAGATAAATATATATATATATGAGAGAGAGAGATACTGGTATTTATCTATATTCATTAGACCTACAACTAACCATAACTGGCATTTTAGTACATTTCCTTTGTCTTTCTTGTGTTCAAAATGCACTATGAACAAAATTAGGAACAATACATAGATAAATGCTCTTCCCCTTTGGTTTTTTGAGACAGGGTTTCTCTGTGTGTCCTGGAACTCGATTTGCAGAGCAGGCTGGCTTTGAATTCACATTGATGCACCACCACTGCCCAGTTGATAAATGCCCTTAATATTCCAAAACGGCAGAAGTCAGGCAAGAGGATTGGGCCTGTAGCTCTGTAGATTGAGTGCCTGGGATACATGAAGCCTGGGTTCTATATCCAGCTACATAAATCAAGCACGGAACCAGGAGGATCAGGAGGTTCAAGATCATCTTGGGTACACAGGCAATTTGAGGTTAGTCTAGGCAACATGAGACTTTGTCAGAGGTAGGAAAAAAAGTCTGCAAGATGTTAATAAAAGATTCTATAAATTCTGTTCTTCTCCAATGATATATTTAAAAAGACCAGGAAAATTTATGAAATAAGCATATTCCCAAGGAATTTAAGTTAAACCCTACTACAGATGTTGTCACTGAAGTGCTCACTACTTTATTTAGAATAAAATACCTGAACAGGCCTAAAAGGTTCATCAGATTCCTTCCACCTAGAAAACAGGAGACAAACAATTTTCTCAATATCATTCCGAGGCCAAAGAATGAAATCCATCTCCTGAGTACAGCCAATTACATCCTAGAAAAACAACAACAAAGGTTTTTTGTTTGTTTGTTTTTTTAAGTTTTAAAGAAGCAAAGTGGTATGACAAAAGGTACAAATACAGGGCTTGACTACAGAATCCCTCTCAGTGTAAAGACCACTATTTTTCATTTTCTACCTTCAGGGATAACAGACTGCATACAATCTATTTACTGCTCTAATACTAATTTTTATATTGTAGAATCCAGTCATTTAGCTCAATGTTCCTCATACAAAAAAAAGTGATAAATTCCAGCTAAAGAGTTAATGTTATTAGTGCCCATGCCTTTATTTCCATCTTTCAAAACCAAATGTACTTGGCAAAAAAGTCCCCAAATTTCTAGGAAGCACTCTTATTACATAAAATATTTTGATGTGCTATAATTAGACAGCTACTTTTCTCCATTCTTGTTCCCAGCATCATATTCCACGTTGTTTCCCAAGGCCAAAGCACTTCTTCCAGACCAGGATAGCTACCTCCAGGCTTCCTCTGCTTTAACTAATTTTACATACCAGGTTAACTTCAATGTAATTCAGTTTTGAAGGTTGGCAGCAATATTTTGTTTAACAGATTTCTCATTACATGTTAGTTCTCTACTCAAAAAGAGAAATCCAACAAATAGTAATGTATTATTCACAGTAATCACATACATGATTATCATTCCATCTAAGCAAAGTGACCCATGCTTTTATTGGAAGTCAATTTAAAAAAGTACTCAAGGTATTTAAAAACAATTTTATATAAAATACCTAACCTTTACATGCTTTATCCAGCTAAGAACTGTCAAGGCAAAAAACTACATCCATTACACATCTGATGTCTCTAAGCACAAAGATGATTACCCACTTTCAGGGGGAAACTGCAAACTTTAATTCATACAAACTTATTTCCTAAGTCAAGACTTCCAGAACTTACCCTTCTCATAGACTGGTATCGAGGAGCATGGAGCTGTACCACATCCTTCTGAAGAAGCTCTATAGAACTTTCCAAGGAATAGCTGGAATCTCGCACACCTTTCAGAATATTTTCTTCATAATTATTTGTCATGACTGGTATAACCTCAGACACTTCAAAAAGTGCTGACTTTTTCTTCTAGAGAAAAAAAAAATTCAGTGATACATACATACAGTGCTGACATAAATTCACTTAACTGGTTTCTACAGGCAACTAAATTAAAAATCTCACTAGTTTAAAACACAAAGTATTCAAACAAATTAACTATTTTATCCCTGAAATGGTATCAAGTTTAATTGCCTTTCCTGGATATTATCTGACTACAATTATTAATGTTTAAAAGGGGAAATGTATAGTAAATTGTGTTTCCAAATTAGTTAAGATAAAATGCTCATTACCAATCTAACTTATAAAACTGCATAAACAATGCATATATAACAACACTTTATAGTGGCCCTTGGGGCATCCTATGAATTATGTGCAAAGACCTACCTAGTCTTGACACTTAAGAGCTTGCATTCAGAGAACCTACACAGCAATACCATCAACTAAAAGATAATCAGATCTTATCAAATATGGCATCACACACACACACACACACACACACACACACACACACACACACACACACACACACACCCAAAAAATGTGAAAATGATTCATCCTCAATACTTCAGCACAAACTACTCTGAAACCACTCAGCAATACTCCTAACAGCTGAAGGTTCTTCAATACAAAAATACTTAAGACTGGGGTAATACCGGTGGAAACTCCAAATACTAAACAGGTATTACACTAAGATTACATTTCTGACTAGCACTTTTAGTGCAAAAGTCAAAAGTTGTACTTCCTTTATTCATAACCCAATCTTATGTCAAAAGCTGTTGATGAATGTCCATTTTGAATTCAAAAAAAACCTGGCTTTCATGGCATTCTCATCTGATATTTAACTGTCAAGTGGCTCTCTCTCTCTCTCTCTCTCTCTCTCTCTCACACACACACACTTCCAAGTCCTCTTAGGTCACTTTTAATTGTAAAAAAGTAGCAATTCTAAACAAAAATTTACCATTTAATTGCTCCTAAAAATCAAAATGTATTGTTTCACTAACTATATCATCAGAAATGAAACCATTAAGATTTGAAGAAATAGGCTAATTTAGCCTATTAACACTTGATCCTGATATAACACTTAAGACGTTCTACTTCTAAGTTTACAAAGTTCCCTCTTTTGTTCCACATTAAAGTTTTACAGTTACTCAGTTCCATATCAACTAAAACTGTATTCTAAATTAAATATTTCAAAGTCAATTAATATAGAAAGGCCCTCCATTTTCTGCAAGGACTCAATTCACAGAATCACCCCAAGGGCAAAAAAACCAAAGTAGTCTTTCTCCACATACTGTTAAACCTAATATTCACAAAACAAATATGCACCTACAAAAATCACTGTGCTAATTGTTAAGAACTTTAAATTACCTTCTCCTTGAACACAAAGGCAATATACATCTTGAAGTCAAACTGGTCAGCTAGAGATTCTTTTTTCTTTCTAAGCTGAGCACGTAGTCTGTTCAGAGCTTGTTTCTTCCGGGAGTTTGGGTCCCCCATTTTGAAATACAGGTGGTACTAAAGCCTTTGGAAATTGTCACTAAACTATGGGCACTTTTCTTTAAGACTCAAGTACAACAGAAACAAGTCATTTTTTTCCTGCTAATATGATTGAATAGCTAAAATCACAACTGTAACCCCCAAACTGCACCTTCTGGCAATATTAGCAGACTGTCATACCACAGGGTCAAGAAACAAAAGTTGCTGTCCAGTCATGTTTGGACAATAATGTTTAGGGGAAGAGTCGGGGAAGGGGAAGGCGAGGAAGGAAAGAAAGAGGAGAAAAAACTTCGAACTAACTTTCTGAAAAACACATTTGGCTAAACTGCCAAAATAAAAGGCTTTGAGGGGAAAATGAAAAACCTATCATCAGGATTTAGGTGTGCAATAAAACACAGCTGACACCAGTCCAATCCTTGAAATCCATCCGGATTTTCCCCCTTTTAAAGGGATTAAGGAAAAAGAAGGGAAAATTGTGATGTTGCTTCCCAAATATAGAAAAGAAAAAAAAAAACAAAAAATAAAAAAAAAACTGAAAACCACCAAAACAGGGTAGGTGAATGAAACTGAAATCCCCAGTTGGATTTTACCCAGCCAAATCCATGGCTGTAGTACCTGATTAATTCTTAGTTATTTCAGATTTCACTACTGCTATGTACTGTCAGTGCTTTGCTATTGATTACACTTGGTGGTGAGCAAAGAGAAAAGTGCAAAATCAGCAGAGAAAGGGGAGAGGTACAGGGTTTCCCTGCAATCAACTACAGTGTATACCGGGGGCGGACAGCTGTTGCCCAAAGGAGCCAAGAGAAAAAACAGCGGAGTCATTACCAACTTCCCCATCACCCACGTTTTCACCCTCAGGCGGCTGCGAACGCTGCTGCCAAGGAGAACCATGATGGCAGAGGGAAAGGGGGATCTATTAAACGATATTAAGTTACTCCGGCTCTGTGATTAGCCCTGATTAATGCCCGGGATCCAAGCACCCTCAGCCCTGAGGTGGGTTCTACATTCCCCGGGGAGCCCTCTGTATAAATTTGACCCCGTTCAGGTTCGGGATGGTGGGGAGTTCGATTATCAGCGTGTGAGCATGGCTGAGGCAAAGGTGGCGGGTTCTCCCACGTCCCAGGCCGGGCCCGGGGATCACCTGCCTTCGACCCCCAGCTCCCACCCCCACCTCTCGCCTTCAGCGGCAGCGACTCACTCGCACCACGGGAGACACTGGATCACTCGGGTTCTCACTCATTTCACCGTGGAAACAATTCCCGCCCGGGTAGAGAAGGCGGAAAGAGAGTTAAATGGGAAGAATCAGTAGGGAGGGGAAAAGAAGAAAATAATCGTGTTAATAAGAATTACTTCTTAAAGGAAGTCCACCCTCCCACCCAAAAAAGGAAAGGTGTTACGATTAATCTTTCCGCCAAAAGCCACCGAGCCCCACCTCCATGTGTGCCAGCTTTATGCCAGCCACCCTCCTGAGTTAGGGCCCAAATGAATACACAGCAACTTGTATTAGGTTCAAAGCGGC